ATGGGTCTGTAGTCGAAATCATGCAATGTGCTCTTTAGACAAACCATGGCTGCAGGTGTCTCTCTGCTCTGACTTCCCCAATCAGGAACAATTAAATCTTCAATGAACAAAAAAATTAGAATAATCCTTGCACTTTATCAAGCTCCTACCACATTGAAATGTATCCCGGGTTTTCTGATAAATGTAGTGACTGCATTATGTAGGCAAATGCAATATGCACATAGCAATGTCCAACAAGTGCCTGAAAATGATATTGCATGGGTTTGGTCTGAGGAGACCTTCTGTTACTTGCGCCCATTTGTTATCTAGGTTTAAAATGTCAAAAAGCCTCTCACTATTTGACGCAACAGTAGAAACTGAACTGTGTATATTTATCAGATCAGATATTGTCACTGCAGTCGCTTAGTTACACGACTGAATTATACCAATTTGCTGTTGATAATTGGCAAACAGATATTCGCATAATTTTCTCACACCATTTTCTGAAATGCTTTCTCAGCCGAAGGACTTACTTTCCCTTGTAGTGGGGGCTTGCATTGAAACATTAAATTGAATATTGTGCCAGTGTTATACAGAAGGATTATTATTGCTAATTCCTTCTTGAAAGCTAATATGGATCCCCTCTTCAACCTTTGCCCGTCAAGGCATTCAACGTACTAACAACCTCTCAGTGTAAAAAAACCCTCCTCTTCTCTCCTGAACTCTGAAATTTCTCACGGGCTTAGCTTTAATGATAGTAATAATAATCCTTGCATTTGATACAGTGCCTTATCATGTTGTTGAGCCATCTCGAAGCGCTTCACAGAATATACTGTAAAGTGAATTGACTGTGCATTTTGTGGGTGAAACTTTTCACCATTTAAGGCCATTGATTTCAAGTGCACAGGATTTGGGACAATTCCTCACATCAGTCTGAGTTTGGAAGCCACAGCTCTTAAAAAGAATCGCCTTCCAAATTAAGATGGAATTAAAGATTTTCTCAAGATCCTGCATGTACTTACACTTTTATCATAACAGTCTTGAGGCCTGAGAGTTTTGGAGCCACATCTCCTCTTCTCCTCTCCTCATCAAAAGGCCTGATACATTTATCATGTGTGATATCCGTCCTCCACACTTATCTCTACTTGTGAGGACAAACACAGAGTGCTGTGCAGTGGAGTTGGGGGAGTCGGGATGTTATTTGACCTCATGGTACAGCAACCCAGCCCAACTCTGTCCTTACTCGTGTATTATTTACACTTTCCAGCAGGGGTCACCAGTGAGCTTAGGAGTGGACATCTGGACCTCTCCCATCACAAGGGCACAGAGGTCAGTTGCACAGTCCATGTGCTGCCTTTGATGAGATGAGTGAGCTGGGCACAGACCGGGGCTCAAACCCTGGGACAATCGCTACCAAAACAATGCCAGCATTTTCTGTTCTGAATGCCTTTTGCGATGAGCTCCCACCACTTCAAGAGTCTCTATCCGGGCTGATTCTGTGAAGAGTGCCTATGCGGATGAAGAAGAGAGAAATTGGAGTGGGGGGGAAGATGGAAACAAATAAAATTTGTTGTTTTTTTTAGTCTAGGACATGTGCTCCACATAATATCATCGGGAAAAAAAAGTAACTGATGAGGCAGGGGATCACAGAGGCAATGGGAATTGGTTTCAGTGTGAGCAGGAACATCCAGTGCTGCCAGGTGTTGGTGTGTTTGTTACAGGTGCACTGTGTGCTGTTTGACTGGTATACACCATTCAAATAGATGGAAATTATCTCTATAAATGATTTGAATCTTTTGGATGCAAATCAGTATTGGCTCCACTCCAGCTCCACAACTTGAGCACTCATCACTGGGGCAGGGAATCAACCCACTCAGCTCCTGTTCACCCTGCAATCCAAAGCTCTAATGAGTAGGGTGGTTCTAGCTGGACACGCAGCGGAAAGCTTGTCAGACAGTGCTTTCAATGGCAAGCTATGTGGTTTTAGCTGGTTGGATTTTGACAGAACAAAATGCACACTCTGAGGTTTCAGAGCCTTGGCTCTTGCCAGCCTGAGTCTAATATTCTCTGGATGAGTCCCTCCAGGGAGACAGTGCATATTCTATTCCAGTATATGGAAATTTCCTTGCATAGGTGGGATCCATGGAACTCTCAGTTTGGTTTGGATACTCTTAAGCATGGTGATGGGTTGGTTACTCATTCCATGGCTGCTTGTGGGACATTGCTGTGTGAAATTGTGCTGCCGTGTTTGCCTACAAATACGCAGTCACTCCATTTCACAGTAATTCCTGTGAATTGTTTTGAGACGTCCTTCTGACATGATTAGGTACTATATCAAATGCAAGGGATTATTATTATTGATAATACATCAAGCTGAAAACCCTCAGCTTTGTGTTAGGTGTTAAGAGTACAGATTCCACCCCACCCTACGATCCTGTGTTTTTTTTAACTCCTGAATTTATTTGTGCATGTCAGAGGTCACGTTGTCAGCTTCATGCCAGATCTCAGACAGCACGGTTGTTTTTTCTGAATGTCAGGGCAGACAATGAAGGTCTGTAGTCTGGCCCATCCACCTCCACTTGCCTGATCCTCCTGATGTGCATGTGGTCACTTGCTCAGTCCGACACCTAATGCTAAACCAAGCCACACTGAGACTGAACAGGTCTGAATTATCTATTTATATTCCTGTATGAGTGCAGACGCACAGTTTAACAGTTAACCATCGTTTATGTGCAGTCATAAATAGCTTAAAGCAGTTAATAGTTATACATGCAGCATCATTGCCTTTGATACATGTGCCTATAATGCCCCAAAATACATCCCAGGAAATTGCTGCCCAGTGTAGTGATTGTGTATTTATAGGTAAATGCAGGGACATAAATGACCAATTTGGAGGATTGTTGGCAAGGATTTGAGGAGAAACTCCCTTCTCGTTTCTTTATGATATATCTGAACAGGCAAACAGGACCTCTGTATATTAATAGCAATCTTTGCATTTGATATAGCGCTTTATCACATCTTGGAGACGTCTCAAAGCGCTTCAAGAAAATACTGTAAAGTCAACTGACTGTTTATTTTGTAGGCGAAACGCAGCAACCAATTAATTGTGCACAGCAAACGGTTGTGGATTGAGTGACCAATTCATTTATTTATTTTTTGAAGGAATTATTTAATATCACATCCAGGGCACAGTACCTCATCACATGCAATACTTTCAGTACATCCAACACTTCGCTGGAACGTCAGACTGGACTGTGAGTTCATAGTCCTCGAAGTGAGGCTTGAACCCAAAACTTTGTGATGCGGAATGGTGGGATTATTATCCCCGGAAAGCGATCTGCCGATCGACTAACCCTAACCCTAAGTGCATCTTATACATAAAGGGGGACTTCAAATGGGATAAATGGGGTAGACTTGACGTGGCGGAGACATAACTTGAGGTGTCATCAAAATCCCAAATATTGATGAGCTTTTATATCACTTCTGAGAGTTGTGCTGCTCCCCGCACCCCCGCCCCCACCCACCGCCCAGGGCAGGGTCAGCCTGGACTGCAAGCTGAGGTGTCACTGTGAGTCCTGAAGCCAGGATTAGGCTGGGGAGTAGTTGTTAGTCTAATCAAATACATTTAGATTCTGGCAACTTTACTACCAAAGTCTTATTTAAAATAGCATAGTCAAATAAAGACATCTTACCCACAGACAACTGTTTAACCCTTCAATTTCTGGAGACAAGTTATTACCTAGTTATCAGCCTCTGCTTGTGACTCATTCACCAAGGATTCTACCCTCTCATGGAAAGGAATAGGGCAGACACCTATGTGAAAGCGATAGTGAACATAATGTCCAGCAGATTATCTTGCATTTGATAACGGGCCTTACTACATTGAAAGGTGCTTCAGAGTTTTTTTGGAGAGTGCTGTTATTTATTTGTAGGAAATCAAAGTAGCAACAGCAGCAATGTGCAATTATGTAGCGCTCTTCCTGCAGAGTAGTAATAATAATAAGGGTAGTGTCTCAGAGTGCTCAACAGCGGAGCTTGGCGCCAAGCTGGGGGCGAGGTGACCGTAGGCACGGTTGTTGAGGAAGTTCTTGAGCGTGATCTGAAAATGAGGATGGAGGGAACACTGCAGAGGGATTGAGGGAGAGAGTTCCAGAGTTTTGGGGGCATAGTGGCTGAAAGCATGGCCGCCGATGGTGGACCAAGGACATGCAGGTGGCAGGAGCCAGCCGAGCGGAGGTAGCAGTTGGTGGAGTGGGGAATAAGCAAGTTGGACAGAAAGGGAGGTGCCAACCTCTCCGATCTAGCTCGGCATCAGGCTGTTAAGTTCTCCGAGACGCTACCCTGCAAAGCAGCCGATTTGCACACTGCACAACGTCCCATAAACAGCAACAAATTGAATGACCAATTTTTTGTCTGGGGGGATTTTTGGTCAGGACACTGGGGAAAACTCCCTTCTCTTTGATTCGTGCCACGGGATCTTTAACAAGCACCCAACAGACAGACGGCATCTCATCTTAACGCTTCATTCACAAAAGGCTCTATATAAATGTAAATTACTGTTGTCGAAAGATGTTTTGTTTAATTCAGCCCTCAGAGGGTTAAACACAAATGTGAGGATTCATGTAAAGCTGGACTGGCTTTTGCATTCATGCGGGAATGGCCTGGGGATGGGGACGAAACACACATACAAGTCCCTACTGTATCTGAATAAGGACATGGCAGCAAATTGCTGGTATCTGACTTCTACCAGTGGAGTTCAGAGGTTATTATAAGCTTTGCATATCAGATGGAAGCTACCAATCAGGTTACATTTGCAGGGGAGAATGGAGCTGTTCCTGTCCAGCTCTTACATCCTCTGGATTCGTTCCCGTTGCAAGGCTGCTCGCCGAGCATAAGATCGAGGTCTGGGGCACAGACCTCAGTGTGCGTGTGCGAGCGTGAGACAGCTGAGGGGCTTTAAACCAAATCCCAAGCCCTCCCGCGCGGTTATGCGCCTCTCACGCTGACAGCGCGTCAGGTAGACCCAGTGCTTCCTGGTAGGGCTTCGCAGCTCGTGGGGGAGGGACTGGGCGCACGCAGATAAGTGTCTGCGAGACTTCTGTTCCTCAGCCCCTTGCACTGCGGAACCCAGCACGCTGTAGCTGCCGTCATGCTCCCCTAAATAACAAGGCCCCTCCGTCCAGGGCAGCTTCATCTCCTCCACCCACTTGAAGCCATGAGTCCCACCGTGCCTCCGGCAATCAGTCCTGTGACTGAGTGCGTCTAAAAGAAATGTAAGAGGTAAGTGTGTGTGTGTGTGTGTGTGTGTGTGTATACGTGTGTGTTTGTGGTGGTGGGGGAGGAATCCTTAGGGAGAGTTGCCGAGGAAGAGAGAATGAGCGGACACTGGTTTGTTTCGCCCACAACATACACAGTCAATCCGCTTTACAGTATATCCTGCGGAGCGCTTTGAGACTTCTTGAACGACGCGACAAGATGCTGGATCAAATGCAAGGATGATGATGATGATGATGATGATGATTGCTGTTATAGCGGTGGGGGGGGGGGGGCATCGAGCCGCTCCATCTTGAGACGGTAACGCAGCAGAAGGTCGAAGCTGCAGTTGCCGAGCGTGAGTCAGACGGCCCCGTCCGTCCCTGTCCCCCGCACGGCCGCAGCGAGGAAACCTTCTCTCCTTCTTTCCTCCTCCTCCTCACTCTCTTCCCCCCCCCCCCACTCCCACCACCCCTTCTCTCTCTCTCTCTCTCTCTCTCTCTCTCGCACATTCCCCCCCTCCCTCCCTCAGTCTCTATCCCCCTTCCCGTTATTCCTCCTCTTGGTGTGTGTGTGGGGGGGGGAGGAGGGAGTGTCCTTACCCCCACCCCCAGCGAGAGAGCAAATACGCAGCTGCGCGTGTTTACCGCCTCCAACCCATCACACCCCGAGACAGACAGACAGACAGACAGACACAGTAGTGGTCGTGGTGGGGCTAACGGCCGTCCACACCGGGGCGGGGGTTCGCGCGTGTGTGTGTGTGTGTGTGTGTGGGGTTCAAAAAAAAACCCCATGTTTTTTTGGGCGGGTACCGACAATTTTTTTTTGGGGGGGGGAAGAGAGGGAGGGAGGGAGGGAGGAGAGAAAAAAAATCTATACGTAACTTATACCGACAAAACTCCCCCCCACCCCCCCCACCTCGAAGATATTTTCCTTACAGTTTGAAAAAGCTCCGAACCATCAATCTGCCGCTCTGTTGCTGCCGCCCATATACAGCGTAGAGAGAGCGAGAGAGAGATACTGAGGGGGGGGGACGGGGGGGGGACGTACGCATCATATTGGGCTACTTTTGGGCTACACACGTATCCGGTTCACTTCTGGTAGCCCAGCGTCACATTGGGCTACTTTGGGCTCGAGAAGCGCCCGGAACGTGGGGCTACTTTGGGCTATTTTTTTTGGTTGGGGGGGGGACGGGGACGGGGGGGACGGACGGACGGGACACTTTGGGGGCGAGAGATGCGCATTTTAATTGCTGGCGGCCCGCGGGAGGCCACGCGATGTTGGGGCTACTTCTGGGACGACAATTTGGTGGACGCGCGCGCGTGTGTGTGTGTGTGAGAGGAGGTTTTATTTTTTAAAGAAATTCTTGCCAACGCGTTATTGGGGCTACGTTTGGGGCTATGATTGGAACTTTCGTCTACAAGTGGGGTTTTTTTTTTGGGGTGGGGTGGGGGGGGGAAATAACCGATAAAAACACATTAACATTGGGGGCGACTGTGAGATGAGAAGAGGGCTACAGACCGATTTGAATCTCTGGCAGAGGGCGCGCGAGCCAATGCGCGCGCAGCGGCGCTAACGGCCGTTGGCGGTCGCGCGTGAGGGCGAGTGGCACGCGGGCCGGACTTCCTCATTGAACTGACTCCGCTGCCACCGCCGCCGCCGCCGCCTTATTTGGGCGGACGGCGCTGTACGCCAGCGCAGCACACGATGGAGTTCGCCAGATGTGTAGAGAGGGGAAGAGCACGAAAGGAAAGGAAAGGAAGACGCCTCGCCTCGCCCTGCCCCGGGCCCGGCCCCGGCCCTCGCCCCGCCTCTGGGAGGGAGGAGAGAGAGAGAGTGAGTGGGAGGGGGGGGGGGGGGGGGGTCGCTCTCGCTGTTGGCGGTGCGTCACTCGACAGCGAGAGTCAGAGCTGCCGAGACAGACAGACACACAGACAGACAGACAGACAGACAGAGGGACAGATAGAGAGACAAACCGCCGAAGTTCGTCTTCCTCTGGAGTTTTATTTCATGCGAAGACGGCGTCCGTTAGCCGCCCCCTGATTTCACTTGTGAGGGAGGAGAGGGGGAGTTGCCCTCCCGGCCCGGCCCGGCCCGGCCCGGGGGTAAGTCACTGACTGACACATGCTCTTCCTCTGCAAATCACACGGTCTCGACAATCTGCACCAGCGTTCACTATATTTTGTAAACCCAAACTAGGGACACGTGTGTGTGTGTGTGTGTATATATATATATATATACGCCACCATTCCTGATGCTGACAGCACTGGGGAAAGCTTGTTGTTGGGGTGTGGGGGAGGTGGGCTTAATGGCTGGGTTTCTCGTGAGGAACGTCTCTGCTTTATTTGGAATTGTACTTGTCTTGTTCTCAGTTTGTTGCTGAACTCAAAACTGGGCAAAATTTGCCTCCAGGGACTACAGTGAATACCTCCCCCCCCCCCCCCCCCCCCCCCCCCCCACACACACACACACACACAGACCTTCCCAGTGGTATGGAGAGAAGATGGATCAAATGGTGCACAGCTCTGCTTCCATCGTTTAATTTCAGACTACCTTCGAGCCTTCGTCTTCGCTCTCCTTCCCTTCTCTCTCTCCTATTCCCCATCTGGTCGCTTTGGGAAGTCCTCCTGACGTGAAAAGCGCCGTACAAATGTCATTTGTTGGTGGTGGTCGCCCAGTACTTACTTTTCCGTGTGTTTGTGTGAGGGTCGGGTGGAGGGTGTTGGATGTGATCCCAAATGAAGAATCGCCTGGGTTGCCCTTTCTGTCCCGCGGCGTGTGGAGGGTGAGAGAGATAGACTAAGGGAGGGAGGAAGGTGGGGAGGAAAATTGATATCTCGAAAGATCTAAACACGATCAGAGGAGGTGGTGTAGCAGTTTAAAATAACCCAGATGTTTGAGTTTTTTCCAGCTGTTTTGAGTCAGTGGCCATAGAGGGATTTAATCTGAAGGAAAAGCGAAGGGAGGGGTTGAGGGATGAGTTTCCTACTGCTGTCCGACTTGCCAGGACCCGGCTTGCGCTGTGTGCCACACCTAGCACCCTCCGTTCCCAGCTTATTTTCAGCTCGAGCATTGCTGGACTATATTTCATTTAATCTGCTTTAAGGGATAATGCAATTTAAAGATCCAGAGGCCTGTGTTTCAAAATCAAACAGTTGGCTGTATGTTTGTTTACATCCAGAACTATCTTTTAATACGATCCACCCCTCAGTACACCCGCTTCACTTTCTCCTTGCTCCCCCACCCCCCCACACTTAAATTCTTCCAACATGCAGTCAGCATGAGCACAGACTCTCTGTGCATTAAAACTGGTTCATGCTGCAACTCCTGGCAAGATGGGGCCTAGGCTTCCCAGGCTTCGTTGCTACCAGTGACTAGTATGTCACGCCACCTAACATTGTAACAGGAGCTCAGCTCGGTATCTCTGATGATTCATTTGCATCATTCCAGTAACTTTTGAGAGAACGCAAAAGATTACAGTATCATTTTTTATTACATTTGGATTAATTTGTCAACCTTTCACTCTACAAAGAGAAATATGAATTCATAGCTGCATCAAATGTTATGCTATTTGGCATTACAGATTATTGAATGAATTAGAAGGAAATTATCTGGGATGATTCAGTTAGTACTATATTCTACTAACAATATCACAGGGTGACCAAAAGGTCTTATTTTTCAGCTACCTTATTATCTGAACATTTTTTAAATTTCTTTAAGACCTATTGGACATTGTAATGGTATCATGACTTATTGGACACCCTGTATTACATTTATTCTTATTTGACATCTGGGTCAATGAGCACATTTGATATCACCACTGTCCAGAAAGTGTTCTGTCTTCTGTTGCCTCCCCTGCTTAAGGAAACAGATGCATCACCATGAATATTGACAGCTCAGTGTTCAGTGAGCTTAGTACAATGATAGTTCCTTGCATCTGATGAAGCACCCATTACCTACAGATGCCTCAAAGTGCTCCACTGTTATTTGCAGTCAAATATAGTGCATGAGGTTTGTGGTGTATAGGTTTGGGAGGCTGGATGCTGGAAGTAACATTTGCTACTTCATCATGTGCCCTTCATCTTCCTTTTGATTTCCCATTAAATGCAGCAGTAGATGTATCAGAGGTTTCTGTTTTGGAGAGAGTTCAGTTGACAACCGAGAACTGTGGTATTTGTAGACTGATTTGTAACTGTGATTGACTAACGGCACAAAGTCTTGATCATCAGAGAGTATTCTGCCTTCTGCTGCTTACCCTGCTCAAGGAAACAGATGCACACCTACCGCCAAACTGGCCATGAATGTGAGCTCCTTTCCTTTCATACACAGGATCAATAGCAATGTGTGCACACAACCATCACTGAAGTGAAGAATGGAACATTCCCTTTCCCTTGGCTCCTACAATTTAGCAGATTTAGGAAAGCAATAGGTGCCCACCTACCACTCACGCACATAGTGTGCATAATAATAATAATCCTTGCATTTGATATAGCGCCTTATGTCTTTGAGGCGTTTCAAAGCGCTTCAACACATATAACATGCACATAACATACACACAATGTACACATAAAATAAACTAATGTCGATCTACTTAAAAACTACCAAGGATCAAACATCTCTTACTTTCTGCATTCTTCTATCTCTCACTCACTAATTCAATAAGGGAAATGGACAACTAATCCTCACAGTAATTAGATGCCGTAACCCTCCAAGAATCGTTTCTCCTGCACCAGCGTATAGCCCTCCATAATGTCCATGACAGAATATATATAAAAAAAAACTTTCATGCATTTAGATAAGGGCATGATGACAGAGCATGGGCGGTGACGGTTTCTTTAGATTCTTTTGATGAGAAATGAGCCATCTGAAAGCCAAGACTATACAGAATTGCCATATCTGGATACGTTGGGGTGTCATTCATTCCTGTGCATTATAATGCTGTCACAGAGAACCACACACAAAACCTAGAATAAACCATATTTTGTTTGCTCTCTTAGTTTCACGGGAGCACTGTAAACCAGACCACC